GGCACATTAAAGTCATGAAAAAAGTGATATTCGCAGAAATCTACAGAAACAAAGTTTATTGTGTGCCATCTGGAGGACAGAAGCCATAAATGATAGGAGGAAGACGATGATGTTTTTGTGGAATGTGATGTATTTTATTACTTACCAATGTCCAATTAGAGTTATCAAAAACATCTCAGTGAACTATGCCATTTAAATGCTTGGCCATACCACAAACTGGCAGCTTACGTATCCACTTTTATAAAAAACGAGAGGCTTGTCCCCTCTAAACAGTCAAAGTGTAACACATCAATGGTGGCTGTGGTTACTCTAAGCTTTCATTTCAAAGGAATGTCTGAACCTCATGGACCAGTCTTTCACAACTAAGGTTCTATGAAATTCTAACATTTCTCCAAGGGTTGCCAGGGGCTCTTTGAGCAGTAAGAATCTGACAGTATCAACATAACTCTTGTGCAAACCTCACTTAAAAACCATCAATCTTAAGTGGCACTACACTGTCCATCAATGTAATGGGGCATTCTTCCCTCTGATTACCTGGCCAACAAAGAATTATTTCTATTGCCCAACAGCGTAAAGATGGCCCTTCTCTATTGGCTACCAATGTTAGGGGACACTCTCCACTGACCACCAATGTAAGAGGACAATACTCTGAATACAAACGTAAGGAGGCATTTCTCACATCATTGACACTACAATTTGGGGTTTGCAGTTCATAGTGAGCACTTGGGTAGTATGTCTTTGTGGCACAAGTTTTCTTCTAATGAAAAGCAAAATGGCAGTTGATACTAGTAGGGAACCCATAGCAATCACATCATGTTAATTTCCACGACATCAGAGGCTCAGATAAGGGAAACTGATGACTGGATTAGTGAGGACTTCCTGGGACCTGTGTCATCATTATCAAAGTGTTTTAGGAGGTCACTCCAACCCCAAGTAAGACTTCACATTTAGGCTTAAATACACTCTTTCCTTTGCCAATATTTAGAGCAGCAGCTTCTCAAACACTGCTAAACTGCTGCTAAATATGGAATTGTAGGCTTGTAAGAGCTCACCAGTTCCTAGCCAGTGAACAAACACCACTTCCATTTGTCTCCTAAGGCCCAATTTAGACCCAATCATTAGGTATTGGCATCTTGACTCTTTCAGACAGAAGGTGAATCCAAGCTGTCAAGCACAGCCCACATTTCAAAAACTAGCACTTTCTTTCCTATAATGCCATGTATTGTTTCTTAATTCAGTAGAGGGCTTAGTTGTTGACTTTTGACAAAAAAGTGAAAACTTGCATATTTGTGACTACACTGTCCGCCAATGTAATGGAGCATTCTTCTCTCCTCTGATTACCAATGCAACAGAGAATAATACATTACCACCATTGTAAGGGGAGACTACAATTTGAACTCTGCATGTTTCTTATTTTTATTTATAATATTGTTTATTATTTTAAACACTTTATGATCATTACTGAAGATATTTTGTCAAGTAGAGCAGATGGTGTTAAATATACTTAGTACAACCCATTTTAATTTTTTTCATTTATGATATGTAACTACATACTGATCACGCTTACATGCCACTAGTTGTTGCATTTTTTAGCAGGCATTACCTTAGATCTGAAATTTATTTTAAGGGTTTCTCTGGTTGCAAATGGTTGAAAAGGGTGCTGTAGACATTTATTAAGTATCCTACACATACAAGTGTGAGTATAGCTTATAAAACGTGTATTGAGAAACGTATCAAAATGTCCATCTACTTGAGTCTTCCCATTATATCACTGCCACGCCAATCAGTAAAACCCATGCTCCAGAGTGCCACCACCTCAAGAAATTTTACTCACCATGTGATAGTGACCTCCAAATTATAGGCAGGTAAAAATATGTCTAATCATACCCTCCACTGCATCAATTGTCAACTCTTCATTAAAATGGTTTCAAACACTGATTTATATGTTATGATAAGCCAAAGAAACAAAACGACTCATATTAGTGAAATACTGTTATTTAAAATGTACTATTTCTTAGGGGCTTATAGATAACACAAGTTATCATATTTATACCAATCAGCCATACCATTGATGGGTAATGTGAATAAGATTGATTATCTTGTCACCTGAAAGTGGGTGGGATATACTGGGCAGCAAGTTAACATGTTGTACCTGAAGTTTATGTGTTGAAAGCAGAAAAAATGGGCAAGTGCAAATTGTAATGGACAGATGACTGGGTCAGAGCAATGCCAAAACTCCAGCTCCTGTGGAATGTTCCCCATCTGCACTGGTCAGGACCTACCAAAAGTGATCTAAGAAAGAAAAACTGGTGAACCGGCAACAGCCTCATTGGCAGCCCGTGCTGGCCCCTGTCCACAACCAAAAGCGCCTATGATAGGTACGTGAGCATCAAAACTTGACCATGGAGCAAAGGAAGACGGTGGCTTCAAGGTGATGACTTGGCCATCAAATTCTCCAGATCTCAATCCATTCGAGCATCTGTAATATGTACTGAAAAAACAGGCCTGGTCCATAGAGGCCCAACCTTGCAACGTACAGCACTTAAATTGTTTGCTAGTGGCCGCTTGGTACCAGATACCACAGCATACCTTCAGAAGTCTAGTGGAGTCCATGCCTCGACAGATCAGGGATGTTTTGGTACCAAAAGAGGGACCTACTTTATGTGAGTGATCATAATGTAATGGTTGATTGGTTTAAATACTAATTCATGGAATGCATATACAAACAGAATCATGTAAATATTATGCCCATATAGACTGGTCAATGCTACCAGAATCCAGACACCAGAGAGCAGGAGAAGGTTTCACAACATACTGCATAGTGCTGGCCACAACCTCTGTACTTTCCTCTAAAAGGAACAGTGCCACCCCAACCAGGGTTTGGGGATTTAGGCCCTTTGCCATGAAATACAAATATACCTAAGCACATCAATGCAGGACCCTGGACCTCAAAGTTTCTTTCCATACTGGCCAGTGGGAGGGGTTTTTGGAGAGACTCAAGGACCTTAGCTTCCAGTACAACCTTTAGTTAGCACCTTCCTGGATTTAGAATTCAAGTACAGAAATGCTTGGTCCTCTCATTTTGTTGTATTTTACAGACCTGTTATTACCTTGTAACTGTTCATTACTGTTGCCATTTTATTTGTTATTGTGGTCTTGTTGGGTGTGTATCCCAAATAAATCCTCCTTCTTTAGCCTTGGTGCATCAGAGGGTGTGGCACTGCTGCAGGGGTCATTGTCATCCAGAATCGGGGAACCCATACATCAGTGGCTCCTTTGGTGTTGTGTACCCTTCACCACTAGAATTTCTCTACAGTGGGGAGAATGGTGCCTCATTTATGGTGTCAGTGTGAGGAATAGTGCCCCATTCTTGGTATCAGCAGGGGAAATAGTGCCCCAATGATGGTGTCAGTGTGAGGAATAGTGCCCCATCACTGGTGTCAGTGTGAGGAATAGTGCCCCATCACTGGTGTCAGTGGGAGGAATAGTGCCCCATCCATGGTGTCAGATGGAGGAATAGTGCCCCATCCCTGGTGTCAGATGGAGGAATAGTGCCCCAAGGGATACATAAAGACAAGCAAAAGGCCACGTCCAGCCACCAGGCCACAGTTTGGAGACCACTGCTATAGAGCTATGCTAATTGCACATTTGAGTTGTTGAGTGATGTATGTCAATTTTGCAGAACGTATGGTACATCGAAGATTCATTGATTTTTTTTTACCCAATTCTTGTGGTGGGTACAGGTAGCTGAAACACAGATCAACTGAAAACGTAGAAAATAATGGTGATCACTTTGCAAAATTCGTGGCCATATTGTCATTACTTCTATCTATTCAGTAAATTGCCCCTAACAGACATGTAAAAAGTAATTACCGATTAAACTATGCAGTTGTAACACACAGTAAATATACCATATGCTTGGTTATTGGCTTGGTCTGTTCATGTATGGGTTTATTGGGCATTTGTGACAATGAAAATTCACCAGTCTTCTCTGCTGTTCATAGCTCTGTTATCCATACTGAGTCACCCGTTCCATAGCAACTTTGAAACCTTTAACGAAAAAAAATGCAGCCGCCACTCAAGTTAATAGCTCTTTTAATTATGTTGTAAACACTTCAGAATGTTTCATCACAATAGATAAAGAAACCTTTGTGCAAATATAGATAAAGGAGACAAAAATGTATCTACTTTTCTTTAACCATTGCTTGAATAGTATAGGCTACCTGCATATTTCTCTGAATACTGGTAATCTGATATTTTGGAAACATGTCAAAAACTTGTAAACCTTAATTCTGCAGGCTCAAGATTCTCAACTCCACCCATACGTTCCTATAGTTGAATAATGCAAAATCTTGAATGGTCACACACTCTCTGCAGTCTACAAGAATCATTGCATGAGAGAGATGTAGATCTATTAGGTTATTTTTTGTATAAAAGCAATATTTTACACAGTTCTATTTGGGCTTTGCACAGGATGGTGTTCAGTCAACAATTCTATAGTGCCATCAACATGTTCAAAGTCTAGGTTTTGTTTTGCACAGAACAACATGGCTGGCAAGAGGCTGTAGGACTGACCAGAGGCACTATGAAAGATTTTGTCAAACTTTTTGGCTGCTGGGAATCATAAAAATTTAATTAAAACTTCCTTTAAAGTAAATTTAGTAGACATTTTAAATTCAGTATAGTTGTGATGGTTTCTAGGTAGCATTGCCAGTTCCACAATAAATACCTGAAGACTCTGTAAATAGACCTTACAATAGGCACTTTACTATTTCCTGGTCAACATTTATCAAAAATAGTCATGAAATAAAAACAGGGCCACATTGGGTAGTTTGGGTAAGATTGTGGAACAGTTTATCCCATGTTTATCTTTGGATGGTTGAGCCCATGTGTCTCAAAAAACACCTTATTCCTTTACAACTGGCTCCATAAGAATTATCTTCATACTATTAATGATTGTCCATAAGGCTCTCCCTGAGTAGGAATTCAGACATGTTTGTTCATCTGGGTGGTAGTGGGTATCGCCCCCGTGGAGGACGTCTTGGAGGATTTGAACTTCGGCTTGCGTCCTGTAAGAACTAGAAAAGAAAGTGATCATCTACAGAAATTGAACCAGAAAAATGAATCTAATGACATATGAGAGTTAACTTGAGTTTAAACTAATGGCAACAGAGAGTTTGTTCCAGTCGGTGGAACAGAACTAAACAATAAATAGACAAACTACTCAAACATAAATAAACTGCATTTAAACCCATTGTACACTGTCATAGTAGATTCAAATGCCACCTACACACACTACACACATTTACACTCTGGTGCCGCCAATCACAAATAACTGCCCAGAGAATTAGATGATGCGGCACACAATCATGTGACATGTGGTTGCAGTGCTACACCAAAGCACAATGCAAAGTCAAAAAATTCTGGTTGCAAGGAATACTCAGGCTTTAACTTTTTGATGTAAAGCAGGGGTCTCCAAACTTTCTAAACAAAGAGCCAGTTTACTGTCCTTCAGACTTTAGGAGGGCCAGACTGTGACCAGCAAGAGTAGAAAATGTCCCGACGTCAGTGGGAAAAAATAATGTCCCATTGTTTGGTGTCAGCAGGAGGAACTGTGCCCCATTGTCGGTGCCATTGGAAGGAGTTGTGCCCACTTCGTTGGTGTAAGTTGGGGAAATTATGCCCAGTTGTTAGTATCAGTGGATGAAATAGTGCCCCAAGGCCCAGATGAAAACAAATAAAGGGCTGCATATGGCCCCCAGGCCACAGTTTGGAGACCACTGATTTAAAGAATAAGTTCACCTTTTGGAATATATTCTTAGGGTGAAATATGTAACATGTTCCAGCGGCTGCAGCCTCCCTCTTTGATCCCCTCACTATGTGACAGCGGGCAGGGGATCCTCTTCCCACACCCACTGCAACAGTTTAAAAATAATGTGACTATGCGGGGCTCCACCCACACGGCCATGTCATTCATTCACAGTTTTTTCTGTGAATTAATGCCTACAAGTACCTTCAGCCATTGCAGCTGACAGCTTGTAGTTCTCAATGAACTGCAGGGGCGTCTGTGACTGCTCTCATAGTCCATTGATTCTTCCTGGTCTCATGTAACTGCTTGCCCATACGAAGGACACGCAGACAGCTATGCAGAGAGTCTGCAGGACACTGAAATTGATGAAATCAGCAAATTATGGGTGCAATACTCTTAGAAAAGAAAATAATAAATGCACATTTTTTTACATGCAAAAAATGTACATTTATTAATTTTTTTAAAAGGTGAACTTATCCTTTAACACAAATGTTTCCTATATATTAGCATGTTACTAATTATATTGTCTGGTGTTGATCTTTACTGTATGTTGCATATATGGTACACAGCAGTGGTATTATAGGAGCTAACACAACCACTCCACAATGTGCCTTATTAGCAGCTTCACTGTATGAACAGCAAATATTGTAATTTGCATATAAAAAACAGATGACTGCAGTGTGCATTGACGGTATTTTAATTTTCCATAGTTATTTCTGCTTTCATAATCAGAAGAAATATGGTACCCTGAAGTATTTAATAGAAACACAGGAAATCAGTGCTCTTAATTTTAATGCACAATAGTCTTATTTAATAAAGTGTGTTTGGGGAATATTTGCATAATATCCATTAACAGGTTTATTTAAATAAAGAACACCCATTTATCATAATGATAAAATTAGACTAAACACTTTTCATGTGAAAAGTTTCCAAGTTGAGACATGCAGCAGATTTGAATTAAACGCATTTATGAAATATGAATAATTTCTGGCTGTCTCTGTAGTAAATATCCACACTACAATCTCACACAAAACATTGGAGACCAGAAATTCCCATGGTGGAGGCACAGCAGCTGGACAATAGTACAGCACACCTGAAGGTCAATGCGATGGGTGGGAGGATATGGCCTGTCTAAATTTTAAGTATACCTACTACTGTAAACCCTCACCTTGTAACCCTTTAAGTTTAAAATAGAAATTAAAGGCAAAACATTTGTGTATAGATATAAAAAGCATTATAAATACCTTGTTTCCCTTTTATATAGTGCAGGTGATCACATACCCCCTGTTCTCAGCTGCATAAGGAGGTAAGAAAGCTGGGGAAGGAGAAACTGCAGGACATTGAACCTCCCTGCGAATGACTGTGCAAGAGTGAGGGGTGTATGTCAGCAGAAGTCTGGTCATTGGAGGAAAACAGGTTGCGTTCTCAGCACAGCTAGAAACCTGACCACACTGTGCTCCCATGTGTAGTGTGGTAAACTTTTAATAGGAAAGCAGTGGTACTGGCAGGAATACAAGGGATTTTACACAAAAGGAAGCAATACAAAAAGCACAGGATACTTTTTCATACAAGTACATGGTACACATGCACATAATCAGGAATATGAAATGTTGGGTTTACATATTCTTTAAAACCAAAACTTTGAAAACACCAAGTTTTACTGCCCAGGACATAAGTACTCTGAAGATAGTAGCATACGTCCCAAAATCTTTTCCTCTTGGGATTCAGCAAAGAGGCTGTTAAAGTGTATTATTTTTTTTGCTCAGTTATGCTACAGTATGTGAATGGGGACAAGTAAAAAACATAAAGTAGGTGTTATCCCAATTTGGCTGCAAAAGTGGAAATACACTTTAAAGAGTAGCTCTAGTCTCCTCCAAAGAATGAAAAGTCAGCAATTACAAATACTGTAGATGCTGACTTTTAATATAAGGACATTTACCTGTCCAGGGATCCAGCCCTGTCCTCACCTGAGCCGATTCTTCAATGGGCTTCATGTCCAGACGCCAGCATCTTAACTAAGGGAAAATAGCTGTGAATCCTGGAGGCTTCCCACTGCGCATGTACCAGCTGCACTTTGTAAATGGTCCCACAGTCTTCTGGGACCTGTGATGTGTCCCAGAAGGCTGCAGGTGAAGGGGGTGTGAGGGGGTTGAACTTCAGCTCGGAACACCTAGGCAATGCGCGCAGTCAAAACCAGGTACCCGCCCCCCACACACACACAATAAAGTACCAAATGGTAAAAAGGGAGGTTGGAGGCAAACAAGGAGAAAGCCCCTTTAGGGATAAGTTCCACTTTAAAGAACCTATTGCGCCCAATTTGAAATATTTACTTTGCTTGCTTACAGTTGTGTAGAGCTGTCTATAAAATGCATGTACAAACACAACATGCCATATGTCTACAGATTTCCCACAGAGGCAAGCAAGTTCCAAACATTTCAAGCAGTGCAATGCTTTAAAACCATCTACAAGTGTAGGCAGTAAAGTATATGAATTTGCTCCCTTTCCTCACAATAGATTTACTTTGTTTCTTTGTGTTTACCCTTTGTTCAGAAAGATATGGTACAAATAATAAGACAAACACAAATGGATATATTTAAACAAGTAAATATAGTAAATTTGTTCTGAAAGGAAAAACAATCTATTAAAGCGTATCTAAACCTTAACAATAAGCTTCTCTTATTCTTTTTATTCTGTTAAATATACAGTTGAAAGCTTTTTTTTCTCCATTTGAGAAATACAAAAAATACTTGTTGATCTTGCCAGAAATCTTGTGAGCAGATAACTTCCTAGGCTCTCTTCCTGTACTTACTCCGTTACAGATGAGGACAATGGAGGGATGGGTGTATGAGTGCAAAGGTGAGAGCTGTGGGTTGCAAAGGTGAGCTGTGGACAAGGGTTAGCTATGGCGAGGGGTTCAGTGGTGAGCTGTGGAAGGGAGGAAGTGTGTGGAGGTGAGCTCCAGTTAGGGGGTGCAGAGGTGAGCTGTGGACAAGGGTTGGCTATGGCAAGGGGTTCAGTGGTGAGCTGTGGAAGGGAGGAAATGTGTGGATGTGAGCTCCGGGTTAGGAGGTGCAGAGGTTAGCTGTGGACAAGGGTTAGCTATGGCGAGGGGTTCAGTGGTGAGCTGTAGAAGAAAGGAAGTGTGTGGAGGTGAGCTCCAGGTTAGGAGGTGCAAAGGTGAGCTGTGGACAAGGTTAGCTATGGCGAGGGGTTCAGTGGTGAGCTGTGAAAGGGAAGAAGTGTGTGGAGGTGAGCTCTGGTTAGGGGGTGCAGAGGTGAGCTGTGGACAAGGGTTAGCTATGGCGAAGGGTTCAGTGGTGAGCTGTGGAAGGGGGAAAGTGTGTGGAGGTGAGCTTCAGGTTAGGGGGTAGAGAGGTGAGCTGTTGACAAGGGTTAGCTATGGCGAGGGGTTCAGTGGTGAGCTGTGGAAGAAAGGATGTGTGTGGAGGCGAGCTCCGGTTAGGGAGTGCAGAGGTGAGCTGTGAACAAGGGTTAGCTATGGCGAGAGGTTCAGTGGTGAGCTGTGGAAGGCAGGAAATGTGTGGATGTGAGCTCCGGGTTTAGGGGGTGCAGAGGTGAGCTGTGGATAAGGGTTAGCTATGGCGAGAGGTTCAGTGGTGAGCTGTGGAAGGGAGGAAGTGTGTGGAGGTGAGCTGCAATTCAGAGGTGCAGAGGTGAGCTGTTGACAAGGGTTAGCTATGGCGAGGTGTTCAGTGGTGAGCTGTGGAAGGAAGGAAGTGTGTGGAGGTGAGCTCCAGGTTAGGGGGTGCAAAGGTGAGCTGTGGACAAGGGTTAGCTATGGGGAAGGGTTCATTAGTGAGCTGTGGAACGGAGGAAGTGTGTGGAGTTGAGCTCCAGTTAGGGGGTGCAGAGGTGAGCTGTGGACAAGGGTTAGCTATGGCAAGGGGTTCAGTGGTGAGTTGTGGAAGGGAGAAAGTGTGTGTAGGTGAGCTCCGGTTAGGGGGTGCATAGGTGAGATGTGGACTAGGGTTAGCTATGGCGAGGGGTTCAGTGTTGAGCTGTGGAAGGGAGGAAGTGCGTGGAGGTGAGCTCCGGGTTAGAGGGTGCAGAGGTGAGCTGAGGACATGGGTTAGCTATGGCGAGGGGTTCAGTAGTGAGCTGTGGAAGGGAAGAAGTGTGTGAAGGTGAGCTCCAGGTTAGGGGGTGCAGAGGTGAACTAAGGACATGGGTTAGCTATGGCGAGGGGTTCAGTAGTGAGCTGTGGAAGGGAAGAAGTGTGTGGAGGTGAGCTCCAGGTTAGGGGGTTGC